ACGCCAGCATCTCAGGGTCTGTTCCAGAGCGTGTTTGTCATCGCTACTTGCTGAGCGGGGTCCGGGCCTGAGAAGCAGCACGGCTGTTCAGAGCTGGTCCTGCCTCCCTCCACGCCCCTGGGACCGGATCTGCAGGTGGCTCTTGGGTCAATGCCGTCTGTCTCCCGAGTCCGCCCAACTGCGGGAGACCAGCAGTCCTGACACGTGTGTGAACTGAGATGTGAGGACTCTTCCTGGCCCCTCACCGTCTCCCTTGGAGTCTGAACGTTTCCTGCCAGTGCTTGCCGAGGCTGTCCTTCCCTTTCCTGTGCGCAGCTTAGCTAATCTCACTCCCGTGGCCCTCGGGGCGGCCGCTGGGCTCCTGGAAACCCCTGGCCGCCTGCGGACAGCGCCCAGCGAATCCCCATCGGGGCAGCGTCTTTGGGCCCCGTGGGGCCTGGGCAGCAAAGTGTGGCCTTCAGGTGTGAGCTCGCAGAGGGAGGATGGGAACCACCCCGTGGAGGAGAATGCGGTACTTTCCCTATCCCAGGTTTCCTCCTGTCCCCCTCACACTTCCCGCCGGGAGGGGGTGTACCTTGTACCCCTGGTTGGACACAGTGCTGCCGTGCTGCTGACACACTCTGCTGCACGCTCATCCCGGGCCACAGGGGTGGGGGCGGGGGGAGGAGATGCGGGGTTAGGACTAAGGTGACCAGATGTCCCGCTTTGGGACAATTTGTCTCGCGGCGTTTTAAAAAAGTCCCGATTTTTGGGAAAAAAATCGGGACTTTTTTAAAACACCACAGGACGCGGGACAAATTGTTAAAAATTGGGACTGTCCCGCCAAAAGCGGGACTTCTGCTCACCTCAGGTTAGGTACACCACCGTTCAGGCTTCTTTAAGCAGGAACATGCATTTGGCCAGACGCTTCCGGGTGGATGGTGTCCAGATCGCAGGCGGGTTTGGTTTGGTCCGCACACCTGTTCTAAAGTTTGGTTTAAATGGGTTGCTTGAGCCGAAACCAGTTTGGCTTAGTGGATAGAGCGTCCGCCTGCAGACTGAAAGGTCCCAGGTTCGATTCTGGTCAAGGGCAGGTACATTGGTTGCGGGCACATCCCCAGTAGGGTGTGTGCAGGAGGCAGCTGGTCAATGTTTCTCTCTCATTGATGTTTCTAACTCTCTATCCCTCTCTCTTCCTCTCTGTAAAAAAAAAAAAAAAAAAAAAAAAAAAAAAAATCAGTAAATGGGTTGCTTGCTAACGCTGGGAAACCGGGACACCTCCTATAAAGCTCTGCGTGTCTGGGGTCTTCTGAAAACTCGGGGCACCTGGAGGCCCTGAGCTCACAGTGCCCCTAAGGACCGCCCTCCCCCAACCCTGTGGCAGTGCCTCTGTGCCCTGCGCCCTGTTATTCCTTGCAGGCTGGCAGCCTGAGCCCCCGTCCTGTGCACCAAGGGTTTCTCCTGAAGCATTGCTTGTTTGCAGGAAAACAGCCAGAGCTGTGCCCCTGTGTGTGACAGGGGGAGAGGGAAAGGCGGGTAAAGAGGGTCTGTCTCCTCCACTGAAATCCATACTGTGGGGATACATTCACAGCTTGCCTGCATTTAGACTCACACCTCTGTGTTGATCGAGGGGAGGTGTTATACCCCTAATAGGTGTGAGTTCCAAGCTTGTCGCTGTGCATCACCGTGATTAGCATTCCCAGAGGTGTCAGCGTCACTCCCTTCGCTGTGATAAAACAAAACTTCAGAGAACAGCCAGTGAAGCAAAATAAGGGCGCAGCCGGTGTCTTTTTAAAAGGAATGGGAGACCCTCCTTTCAGCGCCTCCTTCGTTGAAGTCTTGTTTACCCGCAGCCAGGTGCCCGTCGTATTTAATTTCTGCACAACAGCCACGGGGACATCCTGTCTCCGCTCCAGGGGCCGGCTCAGTGGACAGTCCCCCTCCTTCTCCGCACAGGAGAGCACTTACGCCTACACTCACTGCCCCGCTCTGCAGAGGCCACACTGGGCCTGAGGGCAGAGGAGGTTTAAGAACAAGTAACTTGCCCAAACTGGTTTGGCTCAGTGGATAGAGCATTGGTCTATGGACTGAAAGGTCCCAGGTTCGATTTCGGTCAGGGGCATGTACCTTGGTTGTGGGCACATCCCCGGTGCTGGGGATGTGCAAGAGGCAGCTGGTTGATGTTTCTCACTCATCGATGTTTCTAGCTCTCTATCCCTCTCCCTTCCTCTCTGTAAAAAATCAATAAAATATATTAAAAAAAAAAAAAAAGAACAAGCAACTTGCCCAAGGTTATACAACAGTATGTGTGCACGTATGTATCTATGCCACATACGTGTGTACACACATAGACACATACACCATGTTTAATCACAATTTATTCTGCCTCCCGTGGGTTATGCACTATTTTTTTGGGGGGGGGGGCTGGGGGGGTACAAGTTACTTCTTGTTTTAATCCTCACCAGAGATATGCTTTTTATTGATTTTAGTGAGGAAGGGGGAGAGGGAGAGAGAGAGAAACATGGATCTGAGAGCGATGCTTGCAAAGCAGGGAGTGCGGGTGTGCGGTCATAGGCACAATGACAGCTCCAGAGCGGGCGTCTGTGTGAAGTCGGAGGAGACGTTCTGTGGCTCCGAGACAGGTGTGCAGCCGTCTTTCCGCGTGAACCTCTGTCCTGTTTGGCTCGGGAAAGGAGAATCGCATCTGGTGCCTATGAGTCTGGGAGAAACGAGGCCGCACTCGACAGAACAGCTGGACGGAACTTCCCGGGAAAGGAAGCGGCTGGAGCATTGGCCAGGCCGCACTCAGCGCTGCCCGCAGACGTTTACTATTACAGATGCGTATCCATATTTCATGACCTATTATCTTCTCGGCCTCTCAATGCATGCGACGAAAGCCGCAGATGGTCTTTTAGAGCAAACACAGGAACTGTGCTCAAGCCTTTTTGGCTTTGGGTCCGAGGCCTGGCAATGCTCGGCCCTCAGCTGACTGACATTAAGGACGGATAGGGCCGTGGTCAATACGCACCCACGTGGGGAGCTATTTCAAGCCGGCCGTGGGCACCTGCTGTGACTATCGTAACCCTCTGCTCCCGATGCAGGCGTTTACGAGCAGAGAACATCCTAAAGGCTACCAGCTGCTTTCTCATTCCTTGGAGATGATCCCATGAAAGCTGGAGAGCAGATGGCATTTTGATTGGGTGTGTGCCTGCTCTTGGGGCTTCCTCTGTCATTATTTTGGCTCGGTGGCTTCCGGAGGGGAAGGGGGTCGTGTCCCTTCAGCAATGGGGAGACCCCCAGGCCCTGATTGCCTTCGTTGCCTTTGATGTTGTGTCACGGCAGCGCCTTGTTTGGCGGTGATGAAAGGAGCAGCGTACGTTTTAGATATAACGTTCCTGAAGGAGTTATTTTTTTATCTTCAAACTTCATACAGTGTGTGCCTGTGTGCGTGCTTATATGGGAATATTAGGATGCCCCTCTTTTCTCTCTAATATCAGACCGCCGCTGGCCTAATGTTTCCTAGCCTGTGCGCTTGTGAGTCGGAAGGGAAAGATAAAGTGGGTGTGCTTGGGAAGTGTGTTTTCTTCTTATTTTCTTACGCCTGGTACAGATGACAGTACGTCTGGTGTGAATAACCCGCCCCTTGCAAGTCTGATCGTGTCAACTCCTGGTTCCAAACACAAAGACTTTCCCCGGGCTTCGCCCTTAGCCCGGCATCTGAGGCACCCGTTCTCCCCACCCCCGCTGCCGTCGCCCCATTGTACACCTGCAACCTCATTGCCTACACATGCACCTTCACCATCAGCAGCCTCTCCTGTGGCCTTCCTTCTGCTCTCACCACAAGCCGTCAGCACCTAAGTCACAGGGGCTTTGCTGAGATACTGACCTGCTAAAGACCCGTTGCATGATATTCGTGCAAGAATAGGCCTTCTGCCAAAACTAGTTTGGCTCAGTGGATAGAGCGTTGGCCTGCGGACTGAAAGGTCCCAGGTTCGATTCTGGTCAAGGGCATGTACATTGGTTGCGGGCACGTCCCCGGTAGGGATTGTGCAGTAGGCAGCTGGTTGATGTTTCTCTCTCATGGATGTTTCTAGCTCTCTGTCCCTCTCCCTTTCTCTCTGTGGAAAAATCAATAAAATATATATTTTTTTAAAAAAAGAATAGGCCTTCCTTCCCCTGGCTTCACTTCCAGCCGCCCGGAAGCCGGCAAGTCCTCGCTTCTCTCCAGAGCACTACTCCTGTAGCTCCCTCCACCATCTCCCCTCCCCCTCATAACAGGTATCCTGCCCCTCTTGGCCACTCTGTGCCTGCATATGCAAATTAACTTGCCATCTTTGTTGGGTTAATTTGTATACTCTGATTGGCCATGGGTGTAGTGGAGGTATGGTCAATTTACATATTTATCTATTATTAGGTAAGATATGTAGGTCATGGGCACAGACCAATCAGAGAGCAGGATTCTGGAACTCTGCTAGCCAGGCATTCGCCCTGAGGTGGCAGGAGTGGGGTCTGTGCCTCACCATGGACCGGGACCAAGATGCCCAGTGCCTTGAGGGGTCTGTACACGAGATCCTCGTAGTCTTCCCAGCATGTCATCGTCGGACAAAATGAGGAAAGTTGGAATGCCAGGATTATAATTGCTGTAATTATTATCTCGCCAATGTTTTAATATTTGACATATTAATATTTAATATTTCGGTGTTGAACACTTCTGATTTTATGAAGCCACTTCCATCTGCCTCTCAGTTACATAGAGTGTTTTTTGTGTTTTGTTTTTTTTTTACTGTCTCTACGTTTCATACATCTTCTCTTTGGCATCCAAAAAAGATGCATTTCCTTTGAGGGTTTTGAGTGGCATAGAGTTTTAGGAGGAGGAGGAAATGTATTTTTTAAGGCAACTCGTTTTTTTTTCAAGCCTAACTTCTTCCTACATATATTTTACAGATTAAGGGTTTACCTGAAGATAAAGCACCCTGTTCATCAGAGACTGGACCAGAGTTCTTCCCTGTGGGCAATTAAAGATGCTGTTGTCATGGAAACAGATGGTCCTGCTGTCATTCATTGGCTGCCTGGGAGGTAAAACTAAGCTGTCTTTTCCAACTTGAGGTTAGAAATATACTGGAATCATATAGCCAATAATTTTTAAACTCTGGAGTAATACTCCTCCAGTAGCAAGGAACAGTTTTGGTTTGTTTTGTTTGTTTGTTTTCAGAAGGACAATTCAAATACTCTCTTCTGATTGTCAGATTCTCATTTCAGCCCCTGATTTTGGCTCAGTGTTTTATGCCTTCTTATGTCATGAGTCTCCAGTAGCAGGCAAATGCAACAGTTAATCAGAATTTGCAGACGTTCGTTCATGAATATTTTTTTTCCAAAAGGAACTAAAAGTTATAATCTCCAGTGTGGCGCGAATATAAATTTTAAAGAAAGCCGGTATTTTTATATCTCATCTTGAAAACAACAGTTTTCCTTTTAGCAGATAAATTATTTCAGGGAGCAGAAATAAACATAGGCTCTTTATTTGTTAACTTGGGAAATTTGAAGTTCAGAACAAAACAGAAAGAAAAAGGAATAATTTTCCCAGACATCTTCTGTACAAAAACAGCTCTTATAGATCACTTGATGTATTTCTTTTGTTCGTTTTGTTTTGTTTTCTGAAGGAATGGATAAGTAAGAGAAGACTTTAAAAATTAATATATGTATAACACATAGGTTTTTCAAAATGTTCATTCTTCTTCTTACTGTGAAAATTCTCCACCGCCTATCAAGTTGAAAGAATAGGATCGTGGACACCCACACACACATCGTTTAGATTGAACTGCCGGGCCATTTCACTGTTTGCTCTATTTGTGAACATAGGTGGATGTATTTTGTTGTTGTTGATTGATTGATCAGCTAAACCCTTTGAAAGTAAGTTACGGAAGTCATCGCATCTCACCTCTAAAAACTTCAGCACCCATCTCCTGAGAAGACCAATTTTCTCCATAAACACCATTTCCTGGAACTGACCCAGCCTTGCCCGGTTTCCCGCCTAGATGAGGGCATCGCTGTGTAATGAGGCCAAACGTGTCAGCTGGTAAAACACACGTAACCAGAAGTAGACTTTTAAGCCCTTATATCAAACTTCAAACATCCTTCAAATATTTAAATGAAACAAAAACTGCCAACTTTTATGTAAAAGGGTTTCTTTCTAAACAGATTTCCCCCTGTGACATCTCAGTTTTGTTCTTGAAACAGCTATTCATTTAGCACCGTGGTCGGCAAACTGCGGCTCTCGAGCCACATGGGCTCTTTGGCCCCGTGAGGGTGGCTCTTCCACAAAATACCACGGCCTGGGCGAGTCTAGTTTGAAGAAGTGGCGTTGGAAGACATTTAAGTTTAAAAAATGTGGCTCCCCAAAGAAATTTCAGTCTTTGTGCTGTTGATGTTTGGCTCTGTGGACTAATGAGTTTGCCGACCACTGATGTAGCCCTTGGGGGAAAAGGAGTAATTATTTCCAGATTCTTGATCTTTGGAGAAAATGCAATGTAGGTATCAAAAAAGTGTTCTTCTTGGATGACATTCTCCATTGACAAAATCTCCCACTTGAGTTCTGTTGGAGGAAGAGGAAGATGAGAGTGAAGGGACCTCAGTGCTGATAGCATTCTCGGCTCAGTTTTTAGAGAACAAGCTTGAAACTCCTCAGTTAATGGGAAACAGGGAGATACACTCAGGAAGGGGAGGGGCCACTGAGGAGAAAGGTCAGTCCCTTGAAGCTTTAAGAGGTGGAATTGTAATTTTATACGACGTGCAAATTGAATTAATTGCTCTCAGCATTTTTTTGGGGGAAATCTTGTATAGGTTTATGAATGAATGTATGAAAACCCAGTATCCATTTTACTAAAATAGTAAGAGTTTATTAGAAAATTGGAAGGCCACCTTGATCCTTGGGGTAGGATGCTGAAAAAGCTACAAGGGTGATATGATACATATCACCCTTGGAGTGATATGATACATTATGTACAGGGTGTCCATGTGTTTTTCCCCATTTTAAAAATATTTTGGTAAAGGTCTTTACAGAGCAACCTTCAGACCCCAGACCCCACTGCCAGGGAGCCCGTATTGTGTGATGGGGACCGGCCAGCCCGGGCAGGGCACGTGGCACTGGCTTCCACCTTCGGCTCTGAGACCAGGCAGTGGGCAGTAGCTTGTCCACCACCCCTGGTGCCTACATGGTCAGCTCGAGGCTGCTCGGAGCAGAGGAGAGTGGCTGGAGCTCAGCGTTCCCTCCCCCCACTCACCCTGGCTGCCCTCGCTGTCTCCCGCCCACAGGGGAACTGCCCTTCCACGGCCCCGTGTTCGTCAGTGAGCCCCGCGACAGCATGGCCCCCGTCGGTGCTGCGGACCAGAGAGTCACGTTCAACTGCGAAGCCAGAGGCAACCCTTCCCCTCGTTACAGGTAGGGCTCGGAGTCGGAAACGCACGTGAAGGAGGTTGTGGCCCCAGCCAGTGTGGCTCAGTGCTTAGAGCATTGGCCTGCGGACCAAAGGGTCACAGGTGTGATTCCCAGTCAAGGACATGGACCATGGTGGCAGGCTCCATCCCTGGCCTCAGTCGGAGTGCGTGCAAGAGGCAATCAATTGATGTGTCTCTGTCACATCAATGTCTGTCTGTCTGTCTGGCTCTCTCTCTCCCTCCCTCCCTTCCTCTCTTCCTCTCTCCCTCCCTCCCTCCCTCCTTTCTTCTCTCCCTCCTTCCCTCCCTCCCCTGCACTCCTCCCTTCCCTCCATTCTCTAAAAAATTCTATGGGGAAAATATCCTTGGGTGAGGATAAACAAACAAACAAGAATTGATGTGGGACTGAATTTTTGGAGGCCACGTGTTCACGGCTGGAAGAGACATGCAGCTGTGGTGCAGCTGGGGTTCAGCGGACCTGAGGTGTAAGTGCTGGGCCCAGCACACAGAGCGTCATGCCCATCTGGGGCGGGGCGTGCAGGGGATTGTTTCTGAGTGAAGAGAAGAGCTGCAGAATCCCCCACATGCCCAGCGGCTTCCTCCTGACCCATCCTGCCATGTAAAGTGCATGCTGGGACCAGGCATCCAACAGCATCCTGGGATGGAATCCCATGTCTAAGGATGTAGTCCGTATTCACACTGGAATCCTGCTCGGCCACAAGAAAGGGGGACATACGACCGTTTGCAACACCATGGGCAGACCTTGAGAGCATCATGCTAAGTGAAATAAGTCAGAAAAGCTAAGAACCACGTGACTTCGCTCACGTGGGCTGTAAGGCTGAGACTTGTGGACGCAGACACCAGTGGGGCGGCTGCCCGAGGGAAGGAGGTAGGGGGAGAAGGGACTCTAATATGAGGTAACAGGAGACGATTGACTCTGGGTGGTGGGCACACGGTGCAAAATACAGAACATAGAATCCCACACCTGACACCTGCATGTTCATGTTGACCAGTGTCGCCCAACTACATTCAATTTTTAAAAAAATAAGAAAGGGCGTTGGAAATCCTAGTTTTAGAAAAAAGGACCTTCAGTGTCTGACCTTCTTCCTTTACCATTTTCCTAGGGTGTGTTTGAAGAAGGTTCAGTACATACAGAATAAAATACATTCTTACCAAGATCAGTCTGCTTGTCCTTGAAGAGGAAAACACACTTAATTAGTTATATTTTTTTTTCATGTAAAAGTCTACATTTTTCTGATTATAGAGATAACACCTGTTCACGAAATGACTTCCAATACCACAGAAAGGTATACGGAGAGAAAGACTAACCCTCTTGCCTTTGATCTTCTTAAGATAAAAATACGTGTGGACATTTTGGGGCGATGGTGGATCCTTGGATAGGCTGGGTATTTACTGTATTAAACATCCTGGGATTAGCATTTTGACCTCTAGGGGTGCTAAGGGGACCTGCTTTCATGCAGAAATGAGTCATGTATGAACAGCATGCACTGCTTCCGTGGGAGGGGCCAGAAGACAGTGCGGGGCTCTGAGGGAACGTTCTCTCAGTGCTGAGAGCATTCGTCTCCAAACTGTTTACAGAATCAGTTGGCTTGGCACAGCTCTCCTGAGTCCCACAGAGCGAGCCCACTGTGGCCGTATCAATAACGGCTGACTGTTTAGAGCAGTGGTCGGCAAACTCATTAGTCAACAGAGCCAAATATCAGCAGTACAACAATTAAAATTTCTTTTGAGAGCCAAATTTTTAAACTAAAACTTCTTCTAATGCCACTTCTTCAAAATAGACTTGCCCAGGCCGTGGTATTTTGTGAAAAAGCCACACTCAAGGGGCCAAAGAGCCACTTGTGGCTCTCGAGCCACAGTTTGCAGATCACAAATTTAAAGTATTTGTGTCACTCCCGAGCTTCTGCTCAGTTAAGTCATGTAAATAGTTGATGCCAACAGTCAATCAATGGCAACTGGGTCAGCAGAGGTCAGAAGACCCACCTTTGTATTTTAAAAAAATATATTTTTATTGATTTCAGAAAGGAAGGGAAAGGGAGAGAGGGTTAGAAACATGGAATGATAGGAGATAATCCTTGATTAGCTGCCTTGTGCATGCCCAACACTGGAAATCGAGCCTGCAACCCGGGCATGTGCCCTGACTGGGAATTGAACCGTGACCTCCTGGCTTAATAGGTCAACGTTCAACCACTGAGCTATGCCCGCCGGGTGATCTTTGCAGTGTTTTGTTTGTTTTTTAATCCTCACCTGATGATTTTTCCCCCATTGATTTTTTTTTAGAGAGCATGGAAGAGAGAGGAAAAGACAGAGAGAAATACTGATATGAGAGAAGCGCATCAATTGGTTGGTTGCCTCTTGCATGAGCCCTGACCAGAGCCCTGGGCTGGGGAGGACCCTGCAACCAAGGTACATGCCCTTGACCGGAATCAAACTCAGGACCCTTTGGTCCTCAGGCCAACGCTCTATTCATTGAACCAAACCGGCTAGGGCCTTTGCATTTTTTGCATCTGGAAGCTTTGCAAGGTCACTGATATCCACCAGCCGGAGTATTGAATACCTACTGTGTGCTTTCAGCAGCACAATACCAGGCTCCTGGGCAGCCTTGCCAGTGGCGGTGAAGTCGTCTCTCTGCCTCCTCCTCTCCCTATAGAAATAGGGAAGGTGTCAGACCTGATGAAAGAGACAGGAATCTAGCATTTTGCAAGCTGGATTCCTTCTTCAGACTTCGTACATATTGTCCTGTCTTGGGGAAATAGGAACAAATCAACTGAGCCACACGTGATCCTGGTAATAATTTTCCCAGCATTTTTCTAGGACATTCTGACCTGTTGAAAACGCCTCCGTGTGTTTCTCCCCGAGAGGCAGAGGCCTCTGGGCATGACTGGGAGCACAGAGACTCCAGCGGGTGCGGCCTCGTGGGCGGGCTGTTTCCCTGCTGTCAGTCAAGTTCCATTCCCTGGCATTTGCCTTCTGAATCATGTGACGACAAATGTGTCAACTGAAGAATTGGCAAGATATAGGACTTAGTCCTTCGGGCATTTCGAAATGGGTAGATTAATTAGGCTTGAAAACAGCAGGAAGTACTGCTTTGAGAAACCCAGACATAGCCTGTCCTTGTCCTTATTTCTTTGGACACCAGATATTTATTGAAAAAAAACAGAGCGTGAATTTTTAACCGGTTAACTGCCAGATATTTTGAATGTAATTAATAGAGGCCCGCTGCTTACGTCTGCTTTTCGGCCACAGAAAACAAGTCTGAATGCTGAAGGTGGCCACGTGGGCTGTTTTCAACATTGGGTTCTGCTGGAAATGGGCCTCTGTGCTGTCCCCAAGGGCACTGTAGCCATATTTGGGGGGAAAGAGCAAGGAGAAAACAGGGAGTCTGGGGTTAGGTCAGGAGCCAGGCTCAAGGTCGGCAGCAATTCGGATGCTCTTAAGTTTGAGGCATCTTCTGCTTTGCAATGAGGGGACAGAGGTGGCTCCCGGAGGTGAGCAGGGGGCGGCCTGAGACTCCCGACTGGCATCGGCAGGAGAAAAGGGCCTCTCCCTGTTTGAGCCCTGAAAGGTTCCATCACGTCAGGAACATGTGAAATAAAAACACAGCGATGCTGCCAGCAGTCATCCCGGGAGAAATGCACGGGGCCGGTCTCGGCCCTGGGCAGGGGCAGGCAGGGAAGGCTTCCTCGGGGGTTCTTTTTCTGGAGTTTCTGAGTGGGGACAGGAGGGGTGATCGGCTGACCACTGGCGCCCTCGGGCCTGAGGGGACATTCTGAGGCCCAGACCTGGGGCCCCGGGAGGTGTGACCTTGTAAGAGGAGAATGAGGGGTCTGCTACCTGAATCGGTCGCAGGAAACGTAGAAATAGCCAACCTCCACCCTCTCCTGCCTCCTGGGATCCACTAAGACAGTCACTGACCAATTGGAACGGGGCCGTAACTATGGAAACCGAACTCTTGTTTTTAATCCCAGTGGTGCTGTAATCTCTCTTTATTGCTTAAAATGTATGTTTACATTTATCAACACAGGACAACTAGGAACCGGTGTCATAAAACATGGTCAAAAACTCAATTTTTAAAACACAGCATCACCGTTACACTCATTTATATCTCCAGCAATTACTGCAGAAGCCTAACTAGTTATTTTTGGCTAAATTATGGAATATGCAAATTCAGACATTCTTCGCTTTTCAAAGGCTGCAATTACTCTCATCACTTCAGTAAACATATTAACAAACATCGCGTTGGAGCACAAACGCCTTTGCTTATTAACACGAAGCGGCATCTAAAGCCACAAATTGCTTCTGTGATTAAAATTCTCATTTTCCCCATCAAGCCCCCAATAAAGTCTTGCCTGTTGATTTACTAAGTGTTCAGTGTCGGCTGCTTTCCCAAACCCTACCCAGCCCCGTAAAGATTTTAGAACATTTTTTGTTCTTTTTTTTTTTTTGCATTATTTTATGTTGAAGCCCAAGTGACATCTCTTTTTCTCTAGAATATGGCTTTATTTCCATTTTCCTGACAGATTTTGTGGGATCGTTTGGCTATCCTGCGAGATGATAGTTTTATGCCATCCGCTGCGGGTGCATGATAACCAGGGATTATTTCAGACTCCCTGAAGGCACTCCATTTATTTTCAGGTTGGTTAGTTTCAACCTCAAAGGGTGACCTTCCTGCCCTGGCTAGTGTGTCTCAGTGGATAGGGCATCAGCCTGCAGACCAAAGGGTCCCGGTTTCAATTTCAGTCAAGGGCACAGACCTTGGTTTCAGGCTCCTCCCTGGCCCGGGCCCTGGTGCAGGAGGCAACCCATCGATGTGTTTCTCTCACATGGATGTTTCTCTCTGTCTTTCCCTCTCTCTTCCACTCTCCTAAAAATCAATATATATATATATATATATATATATATATATATATATCTCCTAGGGTGAGAAATAACCAAAAAATAAAAATTCATGCCTTCGCCTTTTGGAATGGAATGTTGAATCTG